GGCATAAATTCATCGAACAAAGGAGAATTTGTAAACTCGATTTAAGATGAAAGAACTTGGATAACTCAGGCACTCTCTTGGATTAGAGGTTGATTGCACACAAGAAGGAATATTTCTGTGTCAATAAAAGTATGCAAAAGACTTGTTGCAGAAGTTTGGGATGCTTGAATGCAAGCCAATATCAACACCAATGGAACCTAATGTCAAGATGTATGAACATGAAGGCAGAGACTTGGGAGATGCAATAATGTATCGACAATTGTTAGGTAGTCTAATCTACTTGACTCTTACTCAACCTAACATTTCTTATGTAGTTGGTGTGATGAGTCGGTACATGCAAAATCCAAAGAAGCCTTATCTAGAAGTGGTTCAACGAATATTGAGATATGTAAAGAGTACAATTGCCTATGGTCTCTTGTACAAGAAAGGTGAAGATGGTAAGTTGGTTGGCTATGTGACGCAAATTTTGCAGGAGATCATGACACCAAGAGATTGACTACTAGGTATGTCTTATTTTGTCTCTCCAACACTTGTGTTAGAGTTGTGTACTCTAATTTTTCCTCAACAATTGGTATCAAAGCGATACGATCAGTGACCGTCTCTAGTGAAGCTTTCGAGAATCGTAAGAAGTTTAGTACTTTGCAAGATTGTTGGTTAATCTTGTTCGGCTTATTGAAGTTATGCAGACACGATGTCTAATCTTCAAGTTGTTAGAGCAATCAAGAAGTTGAACAACAAAAATTACAACAAATGGGATACGTGATGGAGTCTTACCTACAAGGCCAAGATCTTTGGGATGTTGTTGGTGGTAATGAAATTATGCAACTGGAAGAAGACACTAACAGCATTTTGCGGAAGTGGAAGATCAAGGCATGATGTTTCCCTTAAAAACCACAATTGAAGAGGACATGTTAGAGCACATAAGGAAAGCCAAAACACCAAAAGAAGCGTGGGACACCTTCGCCACACTCTTTTTAAAGAGGAACAATACAAGACTACAACTTCTCGAGAATGAGCTATTATCAGTAGCCCAAAGGAACATGACAATTGTTGAATATTTCCACATGGTAAAGTCTATTTGTCGTGAAATTTTTGAATTAGATCCTAGTGCTGCCATTGTAGAATCTAGGATAAAAAGAATAATTATCCATGGCTTGAAACCTGAATATCGAGGCTTCATTGCCGCTGTAAAAGGATGGCCAACCCAACCATCACTTGTTGAGTTTGAGAATTTGCTTGTCGATCAAGAAGCTTTGGCAAAGCAAGTGGGAAGGGTCTCATTAAAAGGTGAGGAAGAAGCGCTCTACACCAAAAGTAAAGGTAGCTTTAAGTAGCGTGCTGGTGGTTGATCTAAAAGAAATGGTGACAAGGCAAAAGGTCATCAAGGAGGAGGGAGTTCTCGGCCAGGGAGAGCTCTGAAGTATCACAACAATCGTGGTCAGTCCCAAAACAATAAAAGGTTTGAGGAAAAATGTTACAATTATGGAAAGAATGGCCACATGGCAAAGAATTGTTGGTTCAAAAAGCCCAAAGAGAGTAATGTCACCAGCTCAAAGGAAAAAAGTGAAGATGATTGGGATGTCTTAGCTTTTCTAGCTATAGAGGAAGAATGTGATGCAGAAACATCATCTTGTTGGTGCTCAAAAAATGAGGCGTTGCCCGACTCGAAAGAGATTGAAGATACGTGGTAAGAGAAAATGGGAGACCAAGCTACCCAAATCCAATCGAGTCTAGATATGCTCGAGGAATTGCTTGATGGTGATCATTTCAAGCAAGAAATACCTAAGAATCTTTGGCAAATAGGTGTGTATCAACAACCACAACTAAGGAAGTCAAAAGAATCAAAAGAAATATGAAGTCATGCAACAAATCAACTAAATAAATTTGCCAATGCCAATGTTGTCATAACTGATAAAGTAGCAAAAGAAGACTAAAAGACATATAGAAGAGGCAAGAGTAGGGTAAAGTTATGGAAGAAGAAATCAATGTACTAAAGCAAAATCAGACTTGGGATTTGGTGCCAAAGCCAAGGAATGTGAAACTCATATCTTGCAAATGGGTGTACAAGATAAAGCATCGTCATGATGATTGAGTTGAAAGGTACAAGGCTTGATTGGTTAGCAGTATGGACTAGACTATGATGAAACATTTAGTCCAGTGGCAAAGCTTACAATCGTACGAGTCTTACTTGCACTTGCAGCTAACAAAGATTGGAACTTGTACCAGATGGATGTGAAGAATGCTTTCTTGCATGAAGAGTTAGATAGGGAGATCTACATGATGCAACCAATGGGCTTTGAAAGGAAAGCTCATCCCGAGTACTTGTGCAAGTTGAGGAAAGCACTCTACGGTCTGAAACAAGCACCAAGGGCATGGTACAATAAGATTGCAGAATTTTTAACACAAAGTGGTTACTCAGTGGCGCATGCAAATTCCAGCTTATTAGTTAAAGCTAATGGAGGAAAGCTAGCTATCATGCTAGTGTACGTGGATGACCTAATCATCACTAACAATGATGAGGCAGAAATTCGTCGAACAAGGGAGAATTTGTAATTTGATTTAAGATGAAAGAACTTGGAAAACTCAGGCACTTTCTTGGATTAGAGGTTGACTGCACACAAGAAGGAATATTTTTGTGTCAACAAAGTATGCAAAAGACTTGTTGCAGAAGTTTGGGATGCTTGAATGGAAGCCAATATCAACACCAATGGAACCTAATGTCAAGATGTATGAACATGAAGGCAGAGACTTGGGAGATGCAATAATGTATCGACAATTGGTAGGTAGTCTAATCTACTTGACTCTTACTCAACCTAACATTTCTTATGCAGTTGGTGTGATGAGTCGGTACATGCAAAATCCAAAGAAGCCTTATCTAGAAGTGGTTCGACGAATATTGAGATATGTAAAGAGTACAATTGACTATGGTCTCTTGTACAAGAAAGGTGAAGATGGTAAGTTGGTTGGCTATTGTGACCCAAATTTTGCAGGAGATCATGACACCAAGAGGTTGACCATTGGGTATGTCTTTAGAATTCGTTCTGGAGTAGTTTCGTGGTGCAGCAAGAGACAACCAACAATGTCTTTGTCAACCACAGAAGCAGAGTATAAAGCAACAATAATGGCAGCTCAAGAGAATGCATGGTTGCTACAGTTGATGAGTGATTTACATCAACCAGTAGATTATGCAATACCATTGTACTGTGATAACCAATCGGGAATTTGCTTGACAGAAAATCCAGCCTTTCAGGCGAGAACTAAGCATGTGGAGGTACACTATCATTTCATTAGAGAGAAGGTCTTGCAAGAAGAGATTGAGATGAGACAGATCAATACATATGATCAAATTGTAGACTTGTTCACAAAAGGTTTGAGCACCGACAAGATCGAAAAGCTTCGTCATCAACTCAACATGGAGCAAAGAATTAGCTGGTGTTGAGGGGAAGTGTTGAAAATCAACACCAACCCAATTGGTGTTTGGATTCTAGACAACTCTAGCAAAATACTATGTCAGTGGTACTAGCTAGAAGGTTCTAAAGATTCAAATATACATGGGAGGTGGACGATGCATGCACTGAAAATGCTAGACAATTCTAGCCCCAAAGTCGGTTACCTATCTAGAATTAGCTAAACAAATATCTTAAGATTGTTGTAATGGAATATTAGCGAAAATTCTGGAAAGTAATATAAGTTAGTGGCTGGAAATGCACAAGCCAAGTCCGCCGACTTGCAGGGTCGATTATGCCATGTATAAATATAAGGTAGTGCTATGTGTGGTGTTGTAAGTTTGTAACGAAAAGGTAATCAAGAAAGTAGGCAACCAAGTGAGAGTGAGAAGCAAGAGTAGTCTTGTAGGAGTGTGAGTGGTTTAGAGTTTGTCTTTAGAAGTGAGAGAGTGTTATAGTTTCTAAAGTGCGTCCTTGAGAGTGTGTTGTAATATTTCGTGAGTGTAATACAAGTAATTTGTTTACTTATTTTGTCTCTCCTTAGAGTTGTGTACTCTAATTTTTCTTCAACATCCCTCTCAGGTATTTCTTCCACAATATGTTATTTGAAATCTATGAATATTTTGTGAGTGTAATACAAGTTATCTGAAAATTGTTAGTTCCCTTGCTTGAAACTGTATGACTATAACATGAACATGCTTAGTACAGTTATCTATCATCGGAACAACAAAATATTTGTTGTCTACCTTGTGCCTCTCTGCTCGCTACTTCTTAGAGGAAGTCTCCCATACGCAGCATTCATCGTCGAAAAATCTTTGTTTCCAAGTATTCTGTTTCGTTGCAAAACGTATCTTTATAAATGCTGCAAGCTTGTTCTTACTGTGGTGTTCCCTGATCAGGAATTACTTGTGCTCATGGATTATTTTGCTCTGGTGCCTGCAAAAGCATCAGTGTTCAGGCATTTGTTTCTCGATCTCGATTCAAGTTAGAGCATTTGCATCAACACTCAAGTGATTGGAAGTTTTGAATGCAAATGCTTCTCCCCAGAGGCATCACCGGAATATGCCAGTACAGATGATCGAACGTAGAAAAACAGGAGTTTAAGGATTGTCTCTTTATATTTTTCCGTAAGAGTTTGTGCAGATATTAGCCAACCTTTTTTTCTTTCATTTCATACCGCATTCATTTCGCAGCACTCCCAGATACCGTAAGGTATTTGAACACAGCGTACACTAGCGTTGATGGGTACGATATAGCGCTAACTCTTGCTCAAAGTACGATTTGTTTTGTTATGTTATTTTTTGGTGTTTGCTGTGCAGATTTGAATTTGTTAATCTTGTCGAGCAGGTGGCTTTGTTGCCCGATAATATGCATTACAACGGTTCTTAAAACGTTACGCTTTATGGGACATAAACTTCTTCGCCTTACACGGTTGCAGTTTAAAAACACAGCCCGAAACACTACCACGACTCAGTTGCAGGGACTGTGCAGAACAAGCAGAACACTGCCTTTCCTATCAGTGCAACAGAAATAAACCAACATTCAACTCGGAAATAATACAAGCAAGCTAACTATTTTATAACGATAAACTGTCCGTCTTATTTACGCTGCAAGAGTAGTAGAATACAATATCACTAATCAATCATTTTTGTTTCCTCTCACAATTGAAGATACACAACGATCATTCGCCCCAAACCAATTGAAATATATTCTTACTAGCGCTCGCATTGACGGCATTGTTACTCTGTGTTCTAAGCATCCCCTCTTGTGCACGTAAATCACCCTCCTAGTTAACAAAATGTTGGTTAAACTGTAGTGAGTACAACCAAAGTTCAAAAAACAGCTTCGCTTGATCAATGCAATGACAGAGCAGAAATTAATTAAATAAGTTAAAAATTTAAAAGATTATGTAGGTAAATAGATCAACGCAATTAGATAAGCTAATCAAATAGAACTTCCACCACAATAGCACTGGTCGAACAGCTGTACTAAGAACGAACTCATGTCATAGAAAGAAAATAGGGTGCAAATTTCTCACACGAATGCACTCGACTCTTCTGTACTAATGGTATATCATAGAAAACAATCGAGATACGCAGTTGAAATTGAAGTCAGCCAAACATCAACTACATCACAAAGGATTTAAAATGGTTAAGAGCAAATTAGAGTTGATTTATACTCTTAAGCACATTCGTCACTAAGAATATTTTTTATTTTTCCAACCAAAAAATATTTAAGTAAAAAGGAGATCTCAGAAAAATTAAAACTAGTGGAGCTAGAATGGAGGATTATAACACGTAGACATCTCTTCTTATAACACAGTAGGCTTGATATTTTCAAATTCTCCAAGGGTAAACTAATGCATTGAATTCCAACCCAAGGATGGAGGACTTACAAGTAAAGAGTAGGCACGAGCAAGAGATAAAAGTGTCGGGTACATATCCAGAACAGCTATGGCGACTTCCTCAGTTACCTGTGGGACCTGCACGTATGAGGTATGATTTATGTAGAGTTTTTCACCATAATCTCACTATCTTAGTCCTCAAAACTAAGCATAAACAAACCGTATCATATACTGACTCAGAAACATCTTAAGAGCAATGTTCCCATTTTTAATCGAATGAGCCATGGACATGGCGTTTTTATGCTCTACTAGAACTGGAATTTTTTTACATATACCTCTGTAGAACTACAAACACATCTTTTACTTAATAGTTTCTATAAATCCTATATATACACGTTTAATCTAAAACAAACAAAAAAAGTGTGAAGCGTTGAAATTAATTTCCTCAAACCATGTTTATCAAAGGAACCATAGTTTGCTACGCTGAGAGATGATAGACAAGGCATCAGTGACTGTCAAACAAGGGATGGTAATCCTATCTTTCAAATTCATGCACACCTGCATGAGCTGAACGGCAAAAACGTCGCTGACTGTCATTTTATCCAAGTCTTGGCACCTTCTAATAAATTCATCAAAAGGAGGACAAACCCCAGCGTGTTTGCATTGTTCCTCGGAGAACTCTGATTTGTAATACTGAGCTATTGCTTGAGTTAGATAAACATACTTCTTCAATGTATCAGCCAAGCCAATGGTTCTCTGGACGTCAAATCCCTCCAAAATCTCAGTTGTGAAACAGCTGCACAAGATGAGAATTCAGAGAATAATATATACATTTTGACATCACTAGGATTACTATATCACAAAGGGATTTGAGCTATAGAACATCATGGATACTAAATTTAAAAAACATGAAATCAAAATTGAAACTGAAAAGAAAGGATCCTAGAACATGTGGGTTGATGTTCAATCTTCAAGTAAGAAGCAAAGATATGCAGCATTCTTATTTAGAGTTTGACATGTAAAACCTATTGAATTACTAAATCCTTACATGACCCTTACCAGTAAAAAGCAATCATATGTTCTAAACAACCAGCTAGCATTTAACTTAGCCTTCAATAATAATTCTACTTCAACAAGATGGCAACTCAAACTGTACGGATGATGCAAGTAAATTTTCAATATGATTACAGATTTATAAGAAAACAGAAGTTTGATGTTCGACATTCTTTTGGAAGCCTAGTTGATGGCTTAAGGTTGGAAATTAGTGTTTCACAAGTGTAGCACGTGGGGTTTGGTTTAGGTACTCGTTTGGGATGGAAATGTTTAATTCTAGGTCTGCTAAAAGGCTGTGTGCCGCTGAACAATTCCCAAGGAAAAAACCTGGATGGGTTGTTGTCCTAAAAGCAAAGAAAATACTTGGTGATGCTGTCATAGTAAAACAGAAGGTTAATATCAAATCATTACCAGAGTTATTTATCACGGTAATGATTGAATTGAATAGAATTATTCATAGTCAAGTGGTACTGGTGATAGATGTAGCTTTTAAAAACATTTACAAGAATGCTTACGCTGTTTTAATGCTTTCTGCTGCTTCAGAAGTATTTGGATCACCTTCCACAAGATATATCAGTTTCTTGAGTCCACACCTCTGACAATATGCAATTAAAGGACCAACATGTCAGAATAACGTAAACAAAAATAGTTTCACAGTAAATCCAAAACTGCATGTAAAAGGTCACACAAGAAGCAGAAAATTTCTCATGTACTTAACCAATGCATGTAAAACATCTGAACTAAAATTGCGAGGCACCAAATCACTGCATTGAGCATGGATAAATGTTGAAAAATCCCCAATAAGGGACAAACATGTCAAGTTGAACTTATAATATCCATATGTAAGGGGAGAAAAACAATAAGAAGAATTAACTAATAGTAATATGTTTTTAATTGTCAATCTTTCTTTGCGGGAAAGTTAATTCAGTATTTCAACTCAAGTCTCCTATTCATCCTATAACACTTAAGTTGATAATAAATGCTAAAGGTAAACTGGGAGAAAACACCAAGTTTCCACAATAAAATAATCACATAACAAGAATAATTTTGCAACAACTGCAAACTAAAATGCATCCACAGTATAATAGAAACCAAAATTACACAAAACGATAAAGATAAAACATCTAATCTTTTGAATAAGAATCAATACCAAAAGTCTCAATTTCTGATCCCTGTAACGGTTATCTCTGATTGAACAGCGCAAATCATCAACATTCTTCCTCTCAACAATAAAATCAAGTACATATTCACTCTCGAGTTGTTTATGACGAGCTATCCAGATTCCATCTCCAACTGGTAACCTCCTAACCTGTAGAAGACTCATTTACTTAATTACAGTTTGCATCAAATGAAGGAGAAGATACTGCAGAAACAATACAGACAAGTACCTCTTAAGTTAGTACGCCTAGATTATTTAAATTGTCAAATAACGATTATAAATCACAGCTTTATTCTAGATGACTTACTGAAGAGACAAACTGAGTTGAGTGATACATATATAGGGAAAGGAAATCCAAAACCGGTGGCTTTCTTAATAGCAGATTGGGGGAAAATACCAAACCATGCCCCAACTGCAATACTGGCACAGTTTCCAAAACTACATACTGTAAATTCTAACTCCAGGGATACTGTGTTGTGGCATAGCCTTGATGCAGGTAGTCTGTGAACTGAAAGGTTTTAAGCAAAACGAAGATAAATTCCTGTAAAAATTAAGTGGTGATAATAGTATTGAGTCTATTGACAACTCTACAAGTAAGTACTTTCCTAAAGGACAAAAATCAATGGACCGTTAATTAGAAAACCAGCTCGTAAAATAAGAGTTATACAACAAAGAATTCATGATTGTATTTAAAGTTCTAGCTGACCGCAATCATGAAGCAGCAAAATACGTAAAGCACTATACAAATAAATGATACAGAATGATATGTGAAACCAATAAAGATGATACAGAACAGTGCAAACTCCAAAAAAATGTACAAAAAATACCATTAGAGGAACTAACAGATAAAGACTACAAGAACTCACCTCTATTTTTATTTTGAATTGAGTACGAACGTTCTCGATAAGTCTCCTAGATCGCGATCTAAAGCCACAATGTATAAAATTAATCATAGTAATTACAAACACCAGCAAAGACAATGGACACTGAATATAAGTGAACAACTGAACACTACCAGTTCAACCAAAAAAAAAAAAAGAACACTACCAGTGAACATAGAGGAAAAAAATATACCAAGAATCCATTGGATTGAGCACGTACTAGAGACACAAGTTACATCAAGACAGAGACATGGAAACACGTAAAATAAAATATAAATTCAGACATGGAATCATGGATACAAACAGATAAGGATATATTCTAATATATTTTGAAAGTTAATTCTAGAATTTGATAGGATTCAAGACAGACTAACAATAGGATTCCTATATAATTGGATTACTATAGAACTTCCCGTATCTATTGGACGAAGAATAGGATTCCTATAGAACATCCCAGATGGTGATTTATTCAAAACTCTTTTCATCAAGATTCAAGGCAGGATAACAAGTATCTTTAACTAGTTTCATCATTTAAAAGAAAACTGCATATGTGGCAGATGTCAAAATCATAAGTTACTGACCCCTGAGTGGCAAATTGCTCCCGATCATCCAGTACCAAGATTACTTCATATGCTTCCTCAAATCTCTCACCAAAGCTTAGCGGTGGTATAGATAAAACATTCGAACTTGCTTCCAATCCATTCGAACATGACTTTGGCACAGAATGACTCTAATAAAGTCAACATGTCAATGAGGGGAAACACGGTAGGGCAGGTGGTTTAAATTCCATGACTCTGCCCTTTTATACAGTACTCAGTACTTTCCATATGTATCAGTCAGATATGCAAGATGTAGCCACGAATTAACATTATCATCCTAATTTAACTAAGTTCACATGTCACATACCGTGGAAGAACAAGCTCTAAGCGTAAAAGATTTTGGTAATGACTCATCCGAATTAATTTTTGGCACATGTCCACCATCGAGAGAAAATTTGGCAAGTCTATTCTCACTCGCTACAAAATCTCTAAGACCTGAGTAATTATAGTAAGCTTTATAAGACAGGGTTTAGATAGTTTAGGAGAATTTCAGCATTCTCTATCACTTAGAAGCATATAAAGCAAGCTTACCATTTGCAACCACATGAGTGACTGATGCTGGACAAAGATCTTCCCTCAAAGTTTGAGACTTCAAATGCAAACCATAAACTTCATCTTCTCGAAGACGACACAGAACAGATGGCCATAGTGAAGACATTTCCTTGTCATTGGAAGTTTCCGAAACTTCAGTAAAAGCTTGAACAATTTGTTCTCTAGAATACCCCATGCACATATACTACAGAAACAAGACAAATAATGAAGATAGAATTTTGACCTAGACAAAGCAAGTAATTAGAACTTATACTTCAAAGTACTATGACCAGAGGATGCAAAAAGAATGTAATATTTCATATGCTTTTTTATAGTTCAACTGAAGAAATCTCATATTTATTTGCGTACAAGAACATCAATGGATCTTGGACCTTATCAACTTTGGTTTTCTGCCCCAAAATATCTCCATTAACAATTTGGAAGATAGGTGAAGAACATAAAAGTTAAATTCCATTCAGGATATAGGTGTTAGCCAAAACAAAATCTCGTATTGCAAATATAATATCAATATCAGCTTATAAGCAAGGGAAACCGCAATCCATGACATGAGGGGATAGTGTGGAGAAAGACAATCTATCATAGGAAAAGTTTCATCTGACTTGAGCCACTAACAATGCACGCTTTAATTAAAAGATAAATCTTGGAAAGGATGATGTTTTGAAATAAAAACAAAATTATGAAGATGTAAACTGGCTATTTTTCCCAATCCACAATTCAATTTAAAAATTAAAAGCTACATGGATATACACCTTGTCAAGGTATTCCTGTGGAATATCAAAGGATTTCTCCTTTGTACTCAAATTAGTGGAGACCAATGTCGCCAAAGTGGCTGAGTCATAATGAGCAAGCTCCTGATGTGAAATATTGTCCCCATTTCCAGAAAGCCCTGTGGCATGAGAAGTCTTTCCTACAGGTTTTTCCATACCAGACCTCATGAGACATTCACTTGCAGTTTCCTTACCTTCTGGAGTAAGCATGTACCTACAGTTTTTACAGCATTACACATCTGCTAATAGGTACAGATGCAATACAAGTGCAACTTGAAATTTATAGGTCTAATTTTACAAGAATTGCTCGCAATAACACATGATTTTTGGTACAGGCAAGTACTAAATCATTTTGAAACAAGCCATATCACACAAAAGTTCCAGGGCTAAGAATCGTACATTTTCTTAAGCCTCTTATCAGATGAAATTTACCTAAAACCAAATGTTTTTCCATATTCCAGCTGAGATACATGCTTCTGTTAAACAGAAAAGACTTAAGTACCACAACTCATTATTTATTCTAATAACCCCATATCATAGTCTAATAGTAAATCATCCTTCACATCAAAGTAGATATATCCTACTATATTATTTTTAATGGTGAAATGATTTTGTCAGTAATTCAACTTTCACAAAGACAATGTGATAACTTATTCCTGTTCCTAAGCTATGTAAAATGTTTTCATATAGAAATAAGAGGGAATAAGGTTAGCTAAATTGCCATTCAAATTTATAAGCGCTGCGGCAGAAAAAAAGTATAAGATAATTATACAAATCCTTCTTAGCATAAAGTAACTAACACAGCAAATCAACCAAAAAAATAAAAAAAAAGAAGCAAAAGCCATACTTTGCTGGGTTACTTGATTTCACAACCAGTCCCTTGTTTATTAATGTCGTCATGCAGGACCATCCACTATACCATTCCCTTGCAGAAGTTGCAAAGTGTCCAGGTTTTCCCTTTCCCTTCTCTGGCCTAAAAACAAACCAGGTATAAGAACATCACATTCATCCGTATTAAACAAAAATGACAAAAAAATTTAGAGAACTAATATAATCAATCAACATCATACATAATTGGCACACGAGAAAGTCCACTTGCTTCAGCAGCATCAATAAGCTCCTGTTTACGCATAAATTCATTCCCACTTTCAATTCCCCTGACGAAAAACTTATCATTAACTCCTACTTCCAAAATTTGATAAAACACATTCAATTACAAATATTGTAAGTGCATACTTAGTTAAGCACAATTCCAGTTTACCTGTAAAGTGTGATCAACAATGCATACGATACAGAATTCTTTTGTGGAACATAACGTCTGCTTCCTTTGGTTCTCTTACCTAAAATACACGCACATTTGAGAAAAATAGCAATGAATTTAACATGTATATCATATAACCAGAATGTAAAGAATGAATTATAAAAGTACCCTTTTTAGTTATGTCTTCTGGTTCAGAATTGTCTGAAGCAGTATCAAAAAATCCTTTCATAAGCTTCAAAATCCACTTCCCTATGCCCCTGCACTAAAATATGAACAGTTCACATCTTGCCAATAAATCGAAACACGAAATGGCAAACCCCTCAACAGGTTTTCAAATCATAAAGACGTTGTTTTGTCTGTCAAGAGAAGCAGTAATAGCCCGAATTCATCATTAAGCTTCCGGTGTGAAGGTGTCTTCTTATTCCACAAAATCATCTAAACTCCTAGAAGAAAACAATAAACTAAACTTGGACTGCAACCAGTATAACATGGCAAAGTGAACAAAATTAGAAAAAACTATACTATTCAAACAACTCAAAGAAAAATTCAAACTTTAACGTCCCACATTGCCCACAAACATAACAAACAATGCTTCGATTAATTAAGTTTTCAAACCCTCACAAGTGACAATCTTACACTCCAAGAATGATCAGAATTCAACGCTAATTACCGAAAAAAATGCATACTTTCTCGAAAACTCACTTGATTTGGGAAAAATCTTTGAGGGTTTTAATAGGGTTCTTGGATTTGCAGAGGTTGGCGTAAGCCTTGGAAAGAGTCATTTCGATGTTCTCGGAAATGCCCTTGGGCCTTTGATCGGCCATTTCCTGCCACTTGCTCAGCATGTACGTCGCAAGCTCTTCGTTCTCCGGGCAAACCACCGTGCGCTTCTGCCGCTCCATGGATTTGGGGATCTAGGGATTTTCAATTTTCAGTGAGGAGAAGAAGGGTGGGCGTCGAAGAAGATTAACGAGTACGGAGAAGGGAATCGGGAGGGAGAGATTTTTCAATTTCATGGCAACACGGCAAATAGTGGAATACGTAGCTTAAAAGGTTAATAATTTAAAAAAGGGCTTCCCATAAATTGTCGAGTAAACCTTACATACTTAATACACGGGATTTTTAAACTTTAATCTCTCAAGAAGATTAAAATTAAAAAAAAACCTGGTGTTAGATTAAATATTGATTTTAGTCCCTAATGTGCCCTTAATTCAAAATAATTAATGTGCATTTTATTTAATGTCTCCCATTAAATATTTAAATTTATTAATACACAAATTTTAATTTATTTTTTTGACCAAAAAAGATTTTTTTAATTTATTAATCTTATTTAACATTCTTCAAACTTGAAAGACTCAATTAATGTACCTAAATGTTAGTACCGAAATATATTATATTGAACTAATATATTTAAATGTTATTACCGAAATGTATGTACCTAAATATATGCACCAAAATGTATTTATATTAAATTAATATACCTAAATGTATGTACCGAAATGTATGCACTGAAATGTTAGTACCGAAAATGTGTTATATTGAATTAATGTACCTAAATGTTTATATCGAAATGTATGTACCGAAATGTTTGTATCGAAATGTATGTACCAAAATGTGTGTACCTAAATGTATGCACCGAAATGTATTATAATGAATTTAATATACCTAAATGAAGAAGATAAAGTACATCAAAATATATTGTACGACAAAAATTAGTTTATCTAAATGTTCACAGCAAAATATATTACGATGAATGAAATGAAAATAAAAATTATAATGAAATAAAATTAATACATTAAAAATTAGAAAGAAAAAGATAAATAATTAAAAAAATCAAAATATAATTAATAAATGAGGTTATTAATGTATCAAGGGACTAAAATTAGATTTTGATCTTACTCATGGTTTTAATCAAAAAATCATTTTTGCCAAGGATTAAAATGAAGTTTTCTACTTAATACACCTTATATTTGTTTTTTCAATGAAAAATTATCTTAATACACCCCACTTATTTCTCCATAATACCATCACACCTCACATTCTCAATATACACCTTACATTTTAACATGCACTCCACATTTTCTATACACCACACATTTCTCAAATCTTTTAAAGCTTTTAATTTGGACAAAAAATGCCAACTGGAATTTTGACAAAAGATGCCACCTGAGATTTAAAGTATATGTGGGTTGTTTTCAATTCCACCATTAAAACCCATGTCATCTGTTTTTAATATTTGGTGGTAATTTTAGGTGTTTAATTCTTCATGTAATCTCTGTGATCCCAAAAAGATGAATACGAACATAAAAGCTTGAATAACGCAGCAAAAGCAAGATTAAATAATTATCGATGTCGTCAAAATCACTAAAACAATAAAGAATAAGTCTTACCTCATGTAAAGCTTCCGAAACATCAATTTCGTGTTTCATTTGTCAAAAATAATTTTTCTCAATCAACATGTTTGTAGTTTCATTGGTTATGGTTTTGTTTAACAATGGAGGGTCAGAGAGATTTTGATAGTTGAAGAAGATAAATAATACGTTAAAAGTGATTTGGGGTGTATTTCGATTTTTTTTTTTAAACTTAATAAGGTCAAAATTGTCATTGTATAGTAGGGTAAATAAATTATTTAATATTAAATTTTAATGTGAGGTGCATTCAATATTTTATAGGGTGCTAATATAAAAAAGGGAACTTTAACGAAAAGCACCCGGTACTGTTCACTTTAACGAAAAACCACATTTTTGCACTAAAAAGTCAATCATGGTACTATTCACTTTACCCTTTATTTTGTCCTGATCATTAAAACTTAAAGTTTTCAAGCCCTTTTCATTAGTTTTCCATATAAAAAACCTTTAAAATATAAATTTTCATCATTTATATAAAAATATATGGTGTAACAGTCTTATTCTGATCACAATTAAAAAATTCACTCAAGGAGGGAGTTCCAAAGTGAAATTAAAATTGCGTCATGCGTTGGCGTGTCGCATGTCCATTTTCCAAATTTTCGAGCACAAGAAAATAGAAAGTTATAACGATTTTCCCATTTTAACCCCTTTATTAAATCAATAGATTATAAGGAAGAAGGGTAATTTAGTAAAATACTCAATTTACTACAAGTTTTAAATCACATGATAATAATTATTTTGTTTGTTAATTCAAAAATTTGTTCATAAAAACTATTTTATGTTACAAATTTGGAACTTTGAAACGTCAATTTGACTTGAGATGAAATTGGGCAACAAAATTTTAGATCAAAAGCCCAAATTTTAGCCCACAGCCCAAAAATCTCAAATTTCAAGCCAAAAGCCCAAAACTCAAAATCCAGTCCTAATTCATCCCGAAATACCGAAAACATTTTGGGAATTTAAAAATTGGGAATACAAAAATTTCTATTCGAGATTGGTCTTCAAATTCCTGTCCCTAAAAATTTCGGTTTGGGACCCCATACAAACCACCACCCCTATAGATTTGTACAACATTTTGATCTCACATGTGAGAAGGACCAGTAGCCTAACTAAGCAATGTATGTGCTTATGGGAATATGAATTCAAATCGATGAAAGAATGGACCTTATATGTTCTTACAAGTAAACTTTGTGACTAATGGAAAGATACAGAAAAAAAAAAAAAAAAGGCTTATTAAAGGCATGGCGTGAGATTAGTCGTTCAAATATGTTAAAAAAGGTCTAAAACAAAAGATATATTTACATTAAGGCCCCGTTTGGTAATTTTATTTTTTTTACCAAAAGCTGCTTCATTTTAAAGTCAATAAAAAGTGTGATAAAATTAAAATATTTTATTTTTAAAGCAATGACATCTAAACAACATCTGTGGATTACTTTTAAAAACTATTTTTATAAAAAGCGGTGAGCCTTCAATAACTATTTTTAATTCATGTAATAAGAACATTATTTATCGTTCTACATAAGGACATTATTTATCGTTCTACATAATTTAGCGGTGAGCCTTCGGTAATATTTAGCGGTGAGCCTTCAGTAATTTTTAAAAATAACATAAGGACATTATTTATCGTTCTACATAATTTTTTTTCCCTTGAAGAACAAAGTAAATGTCACCACCTACCACTAAAACCACTAACTTTACATTGCCACTTTCACCACAATCGTCACTAGCACTAACTTCACCACCACCGTCACCACCACCGTCACGACAATTCCCATTACCACAACTTTTATTATCATCATCGCCGCCACCTTCACCACAACCGCCACAACAACCACCGCCACTGCCACCATTATAACCTTTGTGCCTCAACCACCACACCCCACTATTCGCATCACCATTATACCCTTACAATTATTCTTGTTATCATCATCACCATCGTCAACCCCACAACCACTGCCATTGCTAATGTCATTGCCATTGCAACCATAGTTGTTGCCACCACCTACGACTGCAACCACCAGCCTTATATCATTGTCGTCATCAACACCAGCCTTATATCATTGTCACCGCCAATAGCACTGCAATCACCACCACTGTCGTTGTCACCGCCCACACTACTATGTCTACTTTTGTCATTATTTATGATTATATTACTTTACATTAAATTTACCAAACGCTTTTACACAGTTTTTCATACTCACAACATTTTTAAAAATACAATTTATTAAACACTCAACCGCTTTATGTTACAACTGATTATTCTTAAAACACAGCAGATAGTTTTTTTTTTAAAGAAGAACAACAATCTCAAACTAGCCATAAGAGGTGGAGGAGTAAATTGGTATTGAATTCACCTGAAACCTCTCACCTCACAAGTAAAGAGAATATCACTAGATAATAGTACTAATTGATAATCTATCAATTTAAAATCATTAAAAAAGAATTTCATAGTTTATTTTCTTCGATTGTTTTATTTATTGCGTACGAGATGAGGATCTCCTAAGTAGCTTTTTCTTTTTCAATATGGGATTCTAATTAGTGGAGCATAAAAGAATTGAGAAGTGAGATAGAAGAGAAGAATTTTGGGGAAAAAAAAAATAAAGAGACATATCCGCTTCCGTTTCGTACAATTAATCTAAAAAGTAAAAAGTGTTCACATGTAAGATGCAACCCTCCATTCAAAAGCAAACCAAAAATGTAACGTAAGTTATGCACAGATGTACAAAATCCCAGATCCTAAATGCAAAGTGTCCTCAAATGGCTTCCTTAAAATCCTGATATAAACCACGCAACTCACCCCCCACAACATCACATCTAACACACACAGAACAGCAAACAAAACACAAAAGAAAGACAAACGGAAATGCTCAATTTTCACTTCGCGGGTTTGGCCGTCCTTTTCATCACCGGAGTTGTATTCTCCGGTGAGATTGGCGGGGTTGTTGGGCAGTTATGCGGAGCTGACATTGGAGGACTTGTAACACAATGTGCAGCCTATGTGCAAAAGGGCACGCCCATGACGGATCCATCCGAGGCATGCTGCGAGTTGATTAGGCAAGTGGACATTCCATGCGCATGTAAGCACGTGACCAAGGAGGTGGAACAGATGGTTGACATGAATAAGGTTGTTCATGTCGTTTCCTACTGCGGTAAACCTGTTCCCAAGGGAATGAAGTGTGGAAGTAAGAACCCTAACATAGCTCTCTCTCTCTCTCTCTCTCTCTCTCTCTCTCTCTCTCTCTTATTCAATTAATTTATAATCTTAGTAATATATACCCACACATGTAATATATAAATTATTTGGTATAAGAGAACTTATAAGTGGTTGGACTTAACACAAAACAGAGGAATTAAACAATAATATATATATATGTGTGTGTGTGTGTGTGTTTTTCTGCAGAATTTGGTATATTGGAGATCATTGTTCTAACAAAGTTTAAATATGTACTGCAGGTTATACAGTTCCTCCTGTTAGTGGTTGAAGCGATCGATATGTGCTTGTGGTTGTAGACAAAGTGCCATCCAATGGAAGAACTAAAAAAAGACTCAGTCATATGATGTAATGATATATTTGAAACAATTAATATGTACTTTATCGTTTATGTGAACTCATTCGAAGGGTCCAATATACGGTAATTTTTCTTTATTTATTTTTTATTTTGTTATGAATTGTTGATTAGGGATTGTTCAGCCACTTAGTATTACGGTGTAGTGATATTTCTTTTCATTTATAAGTGAGAGGTCTTATATTTGATTATCGCTAAAGGTGAATTTGAACCTCATTATTGTTAACTCATTATGAGTCTTAACATACCCCTTTCTCCTTAGTGTAAATACTATTATTTGTTAAAAAAAAATTATGAACTGCTTAGGAACAACTTCATATTTAGTTTTATTAATCTTTGTTTGTACTGGTAACTCCTCATTTTGTAAGTGCAATTCAAGGAATTAAGAAATTTGACTAAACAACAAACATAAACCACAGGGTGTCATTAATTTATACGGAGAAATTGTTTGGGTCTTAAATTCGCAATTTCACATTACGCCCCATTGAAGTCAGCCCAAAAAGGTAGCTGCAAACCTCGGCTTAATAGAGAATTTCTTGATTTAGTAGCTAGATGTTGGTGGCTTGGCCAAGAAACTTAAGGCTGACTGGATAAAGAATGAATCGGTCGCATAATAAGTCTAAGTTCAGAGTTCTAGTCGAAGAGGGCGAGACTTTGCGGCGATAAAGTTTCAGCCAAGAATATTTCTAAGCACATTTAGGGAATATACCAAGGAATTAGAATATTATCATAATTTTGCAACTCAGCAGATTGGGCATCAAGGAAATTTGTTCATATAAATACATGAGGAATTGCAACATAGAAAGGAGTTTCAACTCAATGCTCTACCTGAAAACCTTCTCAGACCCCTAAGAAATTACTAACTGCTTCACTAACCTCATCGTCAACACATTCAATTTGGATTAGCATCACGGGGTTGACAAACGGTGACATATTCAATGTGGATAAATATCATTGGAGCTAGTGTGGATAAACATCATTGGAGCTATAGAATTAGTCGATCTAGGAGTAATTTCAATTTGGATTAACATCACCATTATATTTCTAGTTCGATTGGTTATCTGTCCAACTCTCAATTGGCGAGGAGTCTTCGATTCTTTCGTCAAAAGAGGTCTCTTCGTCAGCTTCCCCAATGAAATAAGATGTTCTATGATTGGTTACTCATAGGCAAGGTCTTAAATGCCGATATTATCGGTTTTTCGCGTTACCGATATTTTAATAGGTATCCAATTAGTTTTAGTCAAAATATCGCAATATTATCAATAATATCGCGATATTATCAATATTATCGATAATATCGCTCTCTCTCTGTCGTCAGAACGGCAGCCGAGCTCCGTCGTCGCAGTTGCCAAGATCTGCGCCTCTATCTGCCAAGATCTGCGCCTCTCACAGGTGGTGATGGTGCTCGCCGGAGTGTGCGCCACTGTGGTGGAGGTCATAGTGGGGTGGGTGTGGTGTGTCTCCCCTCCGCTCGCTCGCTCCCTGTCTGTTCTTTCTGCGCCGGAGGGTTCCTGCGTCGCCGAGTTACAAAGACGAGAAGGAGAGGGAGAAAGACGAGGTTGCTGATGACGATGGGTGTCTTCCTCAAGCAGGTGCGATGGTGTGCGTGTGTGTATGTGGGTCTTGATGCAGAGAGAAAGGAGAGAGATGAGAGTTTCAAGAGAGAGACGGCGCCGATGAGAGCTATTTGTTTTTTTTTTTATCTTAAAGAGAGAGAGGTCTGAGAGAAATGGGAAGAGAAGGCCGAGTGAAATGAAAGGAGGTCCTTGAATTATTGAGAGATATCTCTAAGAGAGGCCTAGGATTTCTAAAAGGTAATCAGAAATGGGAAAATGGGGCACATCTTAGCCTTTATTTTGGAATCCTAAAAAGTTCACCACATGGATGCATGACATGTGTGCATGCTATGTCTGTTGAATGGGAAAAGTCTAACACGGAAAGACAAAGAGCCATTTGGGGCTCTGGGCTCGAGGCAAGACATAAAGTGTTAGGGTTTTTTTTTCTGAAATGAACATAAGCTGCTAAATTCACATATATTATAGTTGTTGCTAAAGATTAACACCAGTGTGGATTTTGACGTGTTGGTCAACATGTCCTCACAATCCCCAAGTTCTCCAGTTCGAACCCTTGCGCCAATCAAATTTCTTTCTTTTTGATGCGCTTTTCTCATGGCTCTAGGTCTTGATTTCGAATCGACGTGAGCCCTTTCCTTTTTCTTTTTTTTTCTTTTTGTTTTGTTATTTGTTTATTTTAATTTATTTGTTTCTTTTATGTTTTTCCTTTCTTTTAGTTTCTTTGTCTTAGGCGTTTGTTTTTATTAAAGTAGGATGTAAAATCAATTATCTCAAAATTATGTGTTTTTAAATTTTGGACTTGTTTGTTGGATACTTTTTTGCATTTTATCATTCTTTTATTATGAAAAATATGCTAAAATATCACTTATGTTTTTGTGAAAATATGCTAAAATATTTATATATATGGTTTTGTTTTGAATTCTTTTTTTACTAATTCATTATATATAAATGATTATGGTGTGTTTAAACTTCTTTAATTAATTACTACATATTTTCTATACTCACAATGTTTGCCAACTCGCTATATAATCAACTTAAATCAGTTAAATCCATCATGCAATGCATTTCCTTCCAATTTTTTGTGATAAACTAATAGATAATTGACTAAATAAACATCATGCAAAGTTTCAATAAAAATTTCCAAGTTTTTCTTACAATTTCCGTGGTTTCCATATTATTTTTATCGATATCGATAATACCCGATATTTCCATCGATATTTCCGTGTTTTTGGACTACCGATATTTCCGATATCATCGATATTTTATACCTTGCTCATAGGTACATTTTAGGGCTCAACATTCAGACGGCCAAACCACTTTCACTGTAAACACGCTCATTTCCTTTGAGTATCTTTGTCCTTACATCCTATATCCTGTTCAACACACATATATTTTCACAAATATAGTTGAGCGAGCGAACGCGGTGAAGAAGATTGAATTTCGTAGCATAAGGCATAACCTTGTTTCAAGTTTTGGAACCCAAGGCCGAGAATGCTCCTTCCTCAGCTAAAGTCACATTGATGAGAGAAGGACTTTGCATTGTAAATTGAACTACCCATCATATTGCGAATTGATTTTATGATAGCATCTCAATTTTTTTTTCTTTTACTTGTTTGTTCTTTCTCAAATATCAGTAATTTAAACTCATTTAATATATAGAATCGAATAGTTGATTTGAATCATTTTAAGTACAAAATCCAATAGTTGATTTTGTAAGATTGGGTTATTAATTGTGTAGTGAATGAGGATCTCTTAAAGTGGATTTTTTCCCTATCAAAATCGAGGTCCCAAAATCCTATCAACCATACTTGTTTGTACCATACTTGACCAATCCTGAAACTACTGAGCACCGGTCAACGTTATACCGTCAAGGACCCAGAAGAGTTTCCTTCCAACCAGGAGGCCAATCACAGTGCGACACGTGTCAATATCAGAAGCCAATCATAGCGCGACACGTGTTAACATCATAAGCCAATCACAACACGACACGTGTCAATGTCAGAATGAAACTATAAACTCTCTTCTATAAATAAAGACCATTCTCTCACAATATTTCCTAATGTCATTTGTACTAAATCATTCACTTGTACTCACTAAAGGAGAGCTTGAACCTATGTACTTGTGTAAACCCTTCACAATTAATGAGAACTTCTCTACTCCGTGGACGTAGCCAATATGGGTGAACCACGTTCATCTTGTGTTTGCTTCCCTATCTCTATCCATTTACATACTTATCCATACTAGTGACCGGAGCAATCTAGCGAAGGTCACAAAACACTTTTTGTTATACCAAAGTCCTCACTGATTTTGTGCATCAACATTTGACGCCGTCTGTGGGAACAACACTTATTCTCACTCTTTTTAGCTTTGTTAAGCTTGTTTCCACCATTTGTACACTCTCTTTTAACCAGACATCCCTCTCCAACATGGGGAGTGAAGGAAGCCACAACACACAAAATGACACCCTTCTTGCACCTAGTGCGAAACAACAAAAGAAGGAAGGAAAGATGGTTGCTCTTCAAGCTAAAGTCGATGAGCTAGAATCTCAAAACAACAAGATAACAATGAAGAATGAGGTCATCCAGGAGCAGTATGAGAAGCTCTTTGAGATACTCCACGAAACTAGGCGTACTCAAACACGCGAACTCGTTACCCTTGTGGACATTAACCATCATCTGGATGCCTTCCAAGAAGAAGGGTCACCTTCTTTCGACATGAGTATCCCTGATGAGGAGCGAGCTAATCATCAAAACATTGATCAACATGAGACTTCTCTCAACCCAGCTGCTTCGACCCGAAGCAGGAGAAGTGGAGGAAGACACCTCCATGCAGAAAGGTTGGAAGGAATGAAAGTCGTTTATCGTGACTGCCGAGACTTCCTAAAGCAACATCGAGAGAATCCCCTCCACATAAGCTCGAAGATCAATGACCCAAGGGTTTCTGAAAGACTCGGTCCCTTCCCACGTCCCAGGCCGGCTACGAATTTGGGGAAGGGGCAACAAGTCCTAGAGAAACACGAAGGTATAGGGGACTCAGAAATGTTTCGACAGACATACCTTGAAAGTTAGTACGGCGAGTCCAGGGAAAAATCATATGCTCTTGATCAAACCTTCCTACTTCCAAGAGGAGATGGATATTTATGAAAGAAAGCTCCAGTGGTACATGACTCCACTCAGGACCTTCTTGTCTTACAGCTTCTTAAGGAAGTAAACAAGTTGAAGGCCGAACGACAAGCTGAGATACCTGATTGGAACCAACCTAGGCCTGACTCTCTTACAAAGAGGATCATCGACACCCTCTCCAAGCAAAGACAAAGCAGAAGCTTGGCTTGCAACTCTATACTGGAAATGAGAACCCGATTGAACACCTTAACCTCTTTGAGTTCACCATGGCATACCGGATGCATACCAACGAAGAGCGATGTCTTCTCTTCCCCTCCACCCTCTCTGGCGGAGCTCTAAACTGGTATTGTCGTCTTCCACCTGAGACGGTAGACTCATTTGAGGAATTGAGGAAACTATTTGTTTTTTAACACATTTTTCAGACCGATCGCTTGCATTCTGCAGATGACTTGTACACTATTTTCCAGAAGCCGAACGAGTTACTACGAGAGTATGCTGGTCGCTTCAGCCATGAGTATTCTCGCTGCGCTGAGGCAGATGACAAGACCGCCCTCAAGGCCTTCATGGCA